CATCTCCAGGTATTTATCTTCACTCACTTTCATTCTAGTGCTTTAAAAAAGTAGCATTTCTCAAAGATAAATGGATAGAAGGACAAGCAGTGGCATGTCAAGTTTCCCCACTGCATCTGAATAACATGTCTAACAATTCACAGGCAAGGAACACCTACAGTGAGAAGAAGGTAGTTTGATCTTCACACCTGTCAATCCTAAATCCCTACTAAGATGGCCAGAAGAAATCCCTGTAGTGATTTTTATTATTTAAGCCATACTTCAGAAAGGTATGTAGCCATTTCTCTAAATGGGGTTGCTTTCCTTAAATAAGGCTTTAGACAAGCCTACTAGAAAATGGATTGATACAACTATTTCATGAAGGCAGTCTTAGGCCAGCTATACACAGGAGGAGAAAGTCAAACTAAGATACACAACTCCAACCACGTGAATAGCGTAACTGGAGTCAAAGTACCTTAGCTTGACTTACCGTGGCATCCCTGCTGTGGGAGGTTGACAGGAGAAACTCTCCCATCAAATTCCCTTACTCCTCATGACCCCATGGAGTACCAGGGTAACGGGGGGCACCATCAGTGGTTAATGTAGCACAGGGGTGGGTAATACTACAGTGGCAGTTTTCCCAGTGTTAGCCTCTGGCATGTCGTCTCCCCTGTATTTATCAACATGGCCACAGGTATCAGCCATCACAGCTCCTGTTGGCTGCAGAATGCTGTTCCTGGCCAAAGGGAACAGTGGGAAATAGCATGGACTGGGAGACCACTTCCGGCAGCTCTGATTGGCTGGGAACGGTGATCCACAGCCAAGAGAAGTTGCAATCGCTAGTACCAGCTCTTGTACAGGTAAGCAGTGGAGCCCACCAGGAGCTAACCCTGGCAAGCTGGATCTGGCCCATGGGACAATATTTTCCCACCCCTGATTAAGTGGGTCCTTACTAGACTAGCTAAAACAACCCCTGGATGATCTCTGGAGTATCAATTTCCATCTACGTATAAATAAGGCCATACAACAGCCAGACTGCAATGACCTTTCAACACTACAAATCCTCAGTCAGATTCAAATCAGTAACCTAGCAGTGAAATCTAGCTCTGAATATCAACTAAATATAGCTGTTCTGGGTTGTGTAGTAACTAATTTTACAAGCTATGCAGCAAAGCATGATGCTTATTAAAGTTCATAATTTTTCCCTTAGTGTTACTTTTATTTACTAATACTACTTGTCCCTTGCACAACTAAACACTAGCAAGTCTTTTTAAAAAAATATGCAGCCAAATCCTGTGGGGTTTTACATACAATTTGATGAATGCTCACATATCTGATAAAAAAGAATTTTTTTTCTATAAATGCTTTATATAAATGCTTTGTTAGCCCATGAGTGTCATTGCCTCTTGATACCCCTGATAACTCAAAAAAGATTAGACTCATAGAATCCTAGGGCTGAAAGGTCATCAAGTCCAGCCCCCTGCGCATAACAAGACCAATCCCAACTAAATCATCCCAGTTGGGGCTTTGTCAAGCTGAGACTTAAATTAACGAGATTATCAAGACCATCCAAATGTATTTATATGCAACCAACCAACTGGTTTGGAAGATATATAAATTATTTCTTCTACTTCAAGGCATTAACCAATAGGTAATTAATGGGAGTTAGAAAGAAGCTTTCCCTAAAGGAAAGTTACTCTATAATTGTCTGTTACAGGGCTTCCTGCGATTTCATCTGAAGCATTTGTTGTGGGATAATGTCAAACAAGATACTGGCCTAAATGGGTAACTGGTCCGATCCAGTGTAGCTGTAGCAGCAGCCATTTTAATCCTTTGTCATTTACTTAAAACTCGAAAAGCAAAATATCACCTCCTCCAAGAGCTACTAAAGAAAGAATAACAATCAAATGGAAGAAGCCTTTGCATAAAGTCCCTCCTTACCAACATAATGTAGAAAATCCCACTAACCTTCTACATTCATGGCTTCTCTCAGAGCCTGCAATTTCTTCTGTCTCTCTCTGATCCTGTCAAAGGCACATGATATTGCTGCAGAGGTTGATGACTCTGGCACCGGGCACACCTGGTCCAGTTTTTGAGGGCCAAAGACATCCAATGCTATGCTTCCATCAGAGTATCTTGAGTCCTTATTCCTAGTGGTAGCTGAAGTCGGAACTGTAACTGCTTCATAGTGACTGTTGGGCCTGTGAGACTCTGCAGAATGGTCTGTCTCAGTTGCTTTGTCAGTTGTGCCTAGCAAGTCTGTGGAAGAAGCCCAAACCTTCCATTTGGCAAAATTATCTGCTCCTACGTTATTCTTTTCCTTCAAGTTGTTAGTTCTACACCGGTATGAACAGCAAGCATCTTCATGTCCAGAGTAGTAATCTGAGGACATGCCTCGGAAAAAGTCTCCCTCACCTGGTGCTCCGCTAATGGATAGGAATCCCATAGATTTACTAAGCCCTTTGTTCAGCATAGCCTGTTGAGAGAATTGAGTCTTGTGTACTTCTGATGCATCACTCATTAAACTTCTTCCTGGAAAGAGAAGAATCCATCATGCATAGCATTGTCAGTTCATGCACTGCAGTGCAACTAAAGTTATTGATTTTGTAAGCTACATACTATGTAAAAATGGTAGCTTTTGGTTTATCATGCAAATGCTGAAAAAACTATTTTAAAGGATTCTTCAGCTATGAATAATCCAGAACAATACTTATGTTATCAGATACTTTCCAACATTCATTTTTCTTGATTTTTGAACTATCCGAGGATGAATTCCTGACCCAGTAAAGAGGTATAACTAATAATTAAGGCTCTACAAAATTCATGGCCATGAAAAAACACATCACAGACCATGAAATCTGATTTTTTTTGGTCTGCTTTTACCCTATACTACACAGATTTCACAGGGGAGATCAGCATTTCTTAAACTGGAGGCCCTGACCCAAAGAGAGTTGTTGGGGGAGGAGGAGGTTACAACATTATTTTGGGGGGGAGGTTCATGATACTGCCACCCTTACTCCTGTGCTACCTTCAGAGTCAGGAAGCCAGAGAGCAGTGGCTGTGGGATGAGCACCCATCCTGACAGTAACAGTGCAGAACTGGGGGTAGAAATATCATACCATGCTACCCTTACTTCTGCCTTCAGAGTCAGGAGACCAGAGAGTGGCAGCTGCTTATGGAGAGCCCAGCTCTGCAAGCAGCACTCTAGAAGCAAGGGTGGCAATACCATACCATGCCATCCTTACTTATGTGCTGCTGCCAGTAGTGGCTCTGCCTTCAGAGGTGGGCTCCCAGCCAGCAGCCACTTATCTCCAGCTGCCCCATTTTGAAGGCACAGCTGCATAGAAGTAAGGATAGCAGTACTACAAACACGCCCTCTAATAACCTTGTGACCGCCCACAACTCCTTTTTGTGTTAGGAACCCTACAATTTCAATTCCATGACATTTCAGATTATAATATCTGAAATCATGAAATGTATGATTTTTAAAATGCTATGACCAAAATGGACTGTGATTGGCCCGGACAGCTGCTTATAATACTTTAAAACATACAAGGTGAAATAAATATATTTTAAGATTTTAAGAGTTTTCTCCCATCAAATAATGGTCTTTTAAAAATAATTGGAAGCATTCCTGAAAATATTTGCATTATCTTTTACATAATCCTCCCCCTCCCACCTGCTCTAAAGGAAAAATCCACAGTTTTATTGTGTTATGACAAGTCTAGTTTTGTTCTACTTAACTGGATACACTACTATATTGGCTGCAGTACGAGGTGACTACGTAACTTGGAATTTAAAACATCCTGGATCTTATAGTAATTAATATTTTGGAAAATGTTAGACCTCTTGATTAGCTTTCTAAACTTATAGTAAGCACTCAGAATTTTCAAGAACAGAATAACTGTAGGAGCATTTATGCTTTACATTAAGGTAGCATTTCAGGCAAGTAAGCTATTTTGAAATTACTTAAACATAATCATATGAAATAAGATATTTCTTCTACAAATGTACTTGGAAGAATGCTAAACTTTACTTAACCTCAGCATTACCCCACTATTACTGAAAACTTTCAGTGAAAGTTTACGTTTTTGTCATGAAACCTTCAGGAAACTATGGGCCCAATTTCACAAACACAAAATCCTTAGGAGCACTTTGTTACTTTGTAGATCCTACAAACTACACAGTACATGCATGGCCACACTTCAGAGTTGACAGTGCTGTAGCTGCATCCACGCTGCTGTAAGCTCTACAATTAGGGTTGCCAGGTGTCCGGCATTGGCCCGGACAGTCTGGTATTTTCGCCTCCTGTCTGGTAAAAAAAATTCAGAAAATACCGGACACCTAAAATGTCCGATATTTTCTGATTTTTTTATTGGTCAGGAGGTGAAAATACTGGACACTTGGCAACCATAGTGCCCGGATCAGCTGATCGTTGGCACAGCGCGGTAGCCATTTTTATTTTAATGAAGCGGGGATTATTTAACTCCCCGCTTCTTTGACTATGCCGAGCAAACTATTTTACATGGCTCTGTCGATGGAGCCATGTAGTCTAGACGTACCCCAGATGCGACCCGCCATCCTCCCGGCGTCGGCTGGGGGGGGAAGGCGCATGACACTGTAGGCTGGCACTTTCTTCCCTGAGTGTAACATCAGGATCGAGGATGTTGAAATGCAATTGTGCCATTCAACATGCCATGGCTGATGAAGTCATACACTTGGACCCAAGCAAGGACCGATTCAGTGGCCACCTCTCCAGGGCCCACACACTGTCCGAATGCACCTCCGCTGTGCCTCCTGACCTGCTGGATGTGGAGGAGCACATCATCCCCCAAGTGATATCCGCATGTTGTGTTCTCCACAACATCATGGCGAGGAAAGGGGAGTCCTTCCTTCCAAGATGGGGGGCAGAGGCGAACCAGGAGGGATGGGCCTTCGAGCAGCCACACACAGCTGTCATCCAGAAGGCCTAGCAGGCGAGGGGTGAGCATCTGGAAGGCCCTAAGGGAGAGTTTCTCTCAAGGAAGCCAGTAACTCTTCCCAGGAGCTCCCCACTAGGTGCCTGTGCCATTCCCCTCTCTGACTTTCCTCCAGCAACCCCTCCACTCCTCTCTCCTACAGACACAATAAAAAACATGTTTTGCGTTTTTTTTTAAATTGCTTATTTGGGATAGAAGTACATTGGGAAGAAGGGAGGGCTGAGAACCTGGAAATGGGGAATCATAGAACCATAGAACTGGAAGAGACCTCAGAAGGTCATCAAGTCCAGCCCCCTGCTCTAGGCAGGACCATTCCCCACTAAATCAACCTGGCCAAAGCTTTGTCAAGCCGAGACTTAAACACCTATAGGGATGGAGACTCCACTACTTCCCTAGGTAGCCCATTCCACTGCTTCACCACCTTCCTAGTGAAATAGTTTTTCCTAATATCCAACCTGGACCTCTCCCACCACAACTTGAGATCATTGCTCCATGTTCTACCATCTGTCACTACTGAGAACAGCCTCTCTCCATCCTCTTTGGAACCTCCCTTCAGGAAGTTGAAGGCTGCTATCAAATCCCCCCTCACTCTTCTCTTCTGCAGACTAAACAGATCCAACTCCCTCAGCCTCTCCTTATAACTCATATGCTCCAGCTGCCTAATCATTTTGGTTGCCCTCTGCTGGACCCTCTCCAATGTGTCCACATCCTTTTTGTACTGGGGGGCCCAGAACTGGACACAATACTCCAGATGTGGCCTCACCAAAGCTGAATAAAGGGGAATAATGACATCTCTGGATCTGCTGGCAATGCTCCTCTTAATGCAACCTAATATGCCATTAGCCTTCTTGGCTACAAGGGCGCCCTGTTGCCTCATATCCAGCTTCTCATCCACTGTAACCCCCAGGTCCTTTTCTGCAGAACTACTACTTAACTGGTTGGTCCCCAGCTTGTAACTATGCTTGGGATTCTTCCGTCCCAAGTGCAGGACTCTGCACTTGTCCTTGTTGAACCTCATCAGATTTATTGTGGCTCAATCCTCCAAGTTGTCTAAGTCACTCTGGACCCTATTTCTGCCCTCAAGCGTATCTACCTCTCCCCCCAGCTTAGTGTCATCTGCAAACTTGTTGAGGGTGCAATCCATCCCCTCATCCAGGTCATTATTAAAGATATTGAACAAAACTGGTCCTAGAGCCCAACCTTGGGGCACTCCGCTGGAAATGGACCGCCATCCTGACATCGAGTCATTGATCACTACCCGCTGGGCCAGACATCTTTCTATCCATCTTACTATCCATTTGTCCAATCCACATTTCCTTAACTTGCTGGCAAGAATATTGTGGGAGACCGTATCAAAAGCCTTTCTAAACTCAAGGTATATCCCAGCCACTGACTTTCCCATGTCCACAGAGCCAGTTACCTCATCAGAGAAGCTAATCAGATTGGTCAGGCAGGACTTTCCCTTTGTGAATCCATGCTGACTATTCCTAATCACTTTCCTCTCTTCCAAGTGCCTCAAAATGGATTATTTAAGGATCCCTTCCATGATTTTTCCAGGAACCGAGGTAAGACTAACCGGCCTATAATTCTCTGGATCATCCTTCTTCCCTTTTTTGAAGATGGGCACTACATTTGCCTTTTTCCAATCATCCGGGATCTCTCCTGATCTCCACGGCTTTTCAAAGATAATGGCCAAAGGCTCCTCAATGACATTTGCCAACTCCATCAGTACCCTCGGATGCATTAAGTCCGTACCCATGGATTTGTGTACGTTTAGATTTTCTAAATAGTTCCTAACCTGTTCTTTACCCACCACAGGCTGTCCATCTTCATCCCATCTTGTTTGTTGGTGTGTGGTAGTGGTTTCCTCTTTCCCCCCTCTTCTCTGTTTTTGAGTGAGGCTTTAGAGAGGGAGCTCTCCAGGTAGAGGAGAAGCAAATACAGGACTCTTGAGGGAAGTGTGTGTTGTGTTTGGGGCTTTCTTGTCATGTGCTTAGCTTGTGTTTGTGAGTGAGGGTTGGTGTGTGTTCTTTTTTGGTTTTGTTTGTTTGTTTGTTTTTTCCCCTGTGTTTGTGAATGAGGCTTTTTTTTTTCCAGTTCCCCTTTGTCCTCCCCCTCCCCTTGATGGAGTTTGTGCTGTGATTGGCAGGTGGAAACTGTTGGCTTCTAATTAAAGTTTGGCATCGGAGGAGCAGGTTCAGGCATGGGAGTGGAGAGCAGGGACTGGAGCCGGGTGGGTGAGAAGCTCCCAGATGGTCACACATGTTGTGGCCTTGCTGCAGCAGCTCTGCCCACATCTGGGCCTGCCACCGCATGCTGTCCCGGACCTTCTGGAAAAATGGTGCAGTGTAGATGCGCCCTCAGAGTGAACTTTTAAAATAACCCAGATGAGATATTAGCCTATATTTCCTCCCTCTGAGTCAGCCTTGAAGTCCTCTTCACAAAAGAAAACAATCCTTGAGCACAAAGTAATCTGTTGCGTTGAACCTTCTATTGTGAAAGAGTTCTGGAATCTAAACTGCTGCCCTTTGTTAGAGAGTTGATCAACTTTCC